GGCACCACAAGGGCCGTGCCTGGGTTGGCCCGGGCATTATTCTAAACCTCCCTGAGGCGACCTAGCTGCCTTTGCTTCCATGAGCCTAGGACTATATCCTGAATTTTGTGTGTTTTGTATTTCCCATTTTTTCATGCTCCACATCTTTTTCTTGTTTCTGCATCAAGGTGGAGGCTACTGAACCACTTTGCCAACACCAGCAGGGAGCTGCCGAGGCCCTCACGCCTGGGCTGGGCACTGTCGGCCAGGGCCGGTGCCATACGTAGACCCCACGCGTGTTAGGCTGACCTAGAGCACGCCGCTCACCTGAGCTGGAACAGGGAGGCCCTGCCTGTGTACGTGGAAGTGAGTCAGGCCACAGCGAGACCCAAACCCTGTTGGGATTTGGGGATCCTGGTTTAAGATCCTGGTACTTTCTGTGGATGTGGGCATCTCCTACTGAAAGCGCTTAAAGAGCACAGTGGCGAGAGCAATACCTCCACACGCCACTGCCTCCCCGCCCTGGCGCGGATGTCCCTGACTTTGCCCTCTGCCCAGACAGGGCCTGTTTCTTAAGGAAAGCCACCCAGCTAGAAGGAACCCACGGGAAGAAACGACTGGAGAGCTGTGAGGCCCGCCACAGAGAAGCCAGTTGTGGAATTTCCAACCAAGCGTGTAGCCTGCTGTTTGCTCTTCAGCCTCTGGTGTCCTGCGGCTTAGCTGGGTTCTTGGGTCTGGGTGGTCTCGAGGCAGGCTGAGCAGGGCTCTGCAGTGTCATTCTGGGAGAAGGCTGTGGGGGCAGCTGCAGGCCTGGCATGCCAACTCTGCGGAGCCTGGGCATGTCCTGCAGGGCCCCGAGGTCTTGGGTCCCAGAGAATTGAACCATGTGGGAGGAGTATAGGGGTGGGGGCCGCATCTGAGGCCCACTCTCCTGGAGGCGGCTGGGGCAGTGTGGGTGTGGAGCGGCCTGCAGGCTCCAGAATGGCAGGTTCTTGGTAGACGCAGGTAGGGTTCTCTCTGTTCCCCTGCCCTGCAGCCTTGGCTCCCAGCAAGGTTGGCAACAAGCATCTGGACTCCTGGGCGTCTTACGGGGGCTGCTCCTTTAAAGTCTCCTCTTAACTGGATGCAGGTGGGGTCCCCCGTGGTGCCCAGCCTGCCCTGCCCTTGATGGCTGGGTATATGGCACCCAGGCTGCTGTCCTCTGAGCACAGGGATGGGCTGGAGCCAGAGGCTGTGGGAAAGCACGTCAGGAAGGTCCCTGGGGCTTGCGGTTCCCACGCAGGTGCATCTGGGCTTCCTGGGCCCTCTGTGGGGATCCTGGGTCCCAGGGACTGAGACGAGCTGCATAGAGCCCAGCCACTGTGGCCTGAACTCCCACTGCCGGCAGGGTCTCTCTTCAGGCACCCTGAAAAGGTGCCATGGCTCCAGCTGGCGAGCTTGATCTTGGAAGCCCTATGTCCCCATGTCTGGATGTGCCCAACCCTGCGTTACGGGATCTTTAGGGTGTCACTTTTCTGGCCAGAGACCTCTGTGGCTGGCAGCACCTTTGCCCAAGTTCTTGTCCTGCATCCAGGAAGAATGAGGTAGCAGACAAATGGAGGGTGAGCAGGATGAAGAGAAGCTTTAACAGTGTTAGGACCCTGCAGAGGAGACCGCAGGGGCAGCTCCTCTCTGAAGGCAGGCCGGCTAGTTCAGTGTGTAGCTCTCAGCAGAGAGGAAGCCCAAGACTGGCTAGCTCCTCTCCGCAGGCCAGGTAGGTCCCTATTGACTTCCTGGCTCTCAGCAGAGCGGTAGCTTCTCTCTGCAGCTGGTCTTCCATTTGCCGTTTGCCTCTGTCCTCTTCATCCTCTGCCCTGCTCTGGCTGAGCGCAGGGTTCTGATGGACCCCAGAGGGGAGGCAGTGCATGCTCATTGGTCCTTGGGTAGGCCTGGAAAACACACCGCAAGTCCCCACGCTGGTCCGCCAGACTGGCAGCCAGCCCCCTGCCTTCAGGCCCTCCCAGTCCTCCTTACCGGGGACCGCCTCCTTCTGCCCAGGAACCTGTCTGCCTCCTGCTGCTGTTCATGGTGCCTGGGCTTGGTCCCGATTTTGCTCCCAGATTGGAGCAGGTGCTTCTAAGCCTGCAAGGGCAGAGGGCCTTCCTGGGCCCCCAAGAGTACAGGGATTCCTGAGGCTGTGGTTTGGGCCACTGCAGTTGTGCCGAGGGAGTGGGGGCTCCTGCCTGCTCCATGAGTGGGAGCCCAGGCAGCCCCACACAGAGCCGCCTCCCAAAACCTAGGAGCCTGGCACCCTCACTGGGGTGGGTGCAGTGGCTATGCTGCTGGCCAGGTCCCTGAAGTGGGTGCTACACCCACTATCCACTGCAGGCCCCTGAAACATGGCCCCAGCTCTGCGTCGGAGCCCCTCTGCCCAACTGCTCCCCTGCCGTGCTGACCGTGATTTGGGAAGTGGGGTCTGTTTGCCTCCTCCCTGTTCCCTCCCTGCAGAGGCAGGCGTGATGGCATCAGCTGCACCCGTTGGCCTGCTGCTGGCATCACTGCTCGGGGCCAGGTATGACCAGACTGAGGTCAGGGGTTCCTTCAAGGCTTCAGCCACAAAAGCTGCCTCCTGAAGGGGCTGGTTAATGGAAAAGCCGGCCCTCGCCAGTGGCGGGATTGGCCAAGACATGGCCTTGGCCTGCTCCCGCCTGCCCGTCTCGAGGTAAGCCCAGTGCCAGCACGCCCAGTGCCCTGCCAGCTCCTTGGGCCTGTCCGTGTTCCTCTTGTCCTGCCATTCAGTTTCCACTGATGGCCACCCGGCACGTTTCCTTCTGCTCTTGCACCGGCCCAGGGCCCGAGAAGGACGTGGCGTGTTGACCTGGCCTAGAGGTCATGGCTCAGTGCCCAGGTCCTGCCACAGGGTGGGGGCCCTGGTGCTTGTAGCAGCCCTGAGCTAAATGAGCTGCTCTCGTCCCCATTTTGCTCATAAAGAAACTGAGGCCTGGTAGCCAGGCCTGGAGGCCTCCATGGCTAAGAGCGGGCTCTCTGGGGTTGGCCTGGGCAGAGGCGAGCCTCCACCCTATCTGATCTTTCCTGACCTCCTGCCAGCGGTCTGTTGAGGTAGCAGTGAGCCATGAATAATTCCTGAGCTGGGTGGTGTGCAGATGTCAGGCGGCCAGCGCTCGCTTTACGTGGTGGGGGCGGGGAGGAACCCTGGACTGGGGTGGCAGTACTAGCTGCCTTGTGAGACTTGGGCCCCTTTGTGGGAAATGGTGTCCCTTTTTCACCAGGTAGGCAGGACCCCCCACTGGTGTGCTCTTCCTGGGAGCTGGCCCTGTGGCCCTGGCCCTTACTTGAGAGCTGTGGAGTCTGCGGTTGTGGGGAGTCTGGGGCTGGCTCTCGAAGGGGTGTCCTTGGGGAGGGTGGGGAAGGAGCTGGAGCCAGGTCTGTGTGGGGTTGGGGTCACCCTGGGGTGGAGTAAGGGGGCTACTGTGGCTCTAGGTCTAGCGCCCCGTACCCGGAGCTTTAATTGATTTTATCTCAGCCACAAAGCTCAGTTTAGCCCCTCTGATCTAAAAAGAGCAGGTTTTCATGGCTTTGCAGTGGTGGATTTCAGGACAAATCTCTGGATACCACTAGGTTTTACCACCCAAATGGCAGGATTTGTCCATGGATGAAAATAGAGTTCTAGCACAGCCCCGTGCTCTGTGGCAGAGATGCCTTCGGCCTCCCTGTGTCTCTGAGCCTGGCATTCCTGTGCCCAGCACCGGCCCAGGGCCCCGTGGGAGCTGCCTTCTGGCGACGGCTGTGCCAGCCTGTGGAAGCTGGGCTGTGCCTGGGTGTGGGGTTGCTTCTCTCTGTAGCGCTTGGCCCTAGGACTTTTCTGGGAGGCTGCACGCTGTTTCTCGAGGGAGCCCTCAGCTCCCTGCTCTTTAGGGCACCCATAGGCACCAGCCCCTGTGGGAGTGCCTGGCAGGTGGGAGCAGGACCCCTGCAGGTGTTTGGGTGGAGGCAGGAGCTGCCCCAGCAGGAGCCACACAGGAAGGTCTGAGTCCCTGTGGAAGCTGGGCTGTGCCAGCTTGGTGTCCCCCGATCAGATGTGTCACCGATAAGCAGGCCTGGGTCCAGATAAGATGACAGAAACCGCCTCTTCTGTCTCCCCCACAGGAGCTGCCTGTGCTCTGTTCTCACAGCTGGGCCACTGGGCCTCGTGCGTTGTGGAAGGGGCCGCAAGGTGTGATGTGTGGGGCACCCCAGGCCCCAGAGGGCGTCTGCCCACACTGAGGTGGCCATGGTGGTGGCAGGGGCAGTGCCTCTTAGGGGCCCCGCTACCAGGTGTGTGAGGACACCTTCCGAGGGGTCTGTTTTGTAAAAAGCTTGGCCTCTGTGAACACTGAGCCAGGGCGAGGGCCCTGTGTGGTGAGTCATGGTCGTGGGGAAAGCCCCGGGATGCTGTTGGGTGCAATTGCCGTGGGCCTCCCACCTGCCTTCCTGGCTCGAGGCCTGCTGAGCAGCCGCTTCTGCTGGAAGGTGACCTCTCCACCCCTGGCAGGAAGCCCCTGTCACTCCCAGACCTGGATATCGGCCAGGGAGGGCCTGGGCACAAGGAGGGCAGGCCCAGGCTGGTGGCCATTGGGCATCCTTCAGTGGGTGATCTCTAGGCCCCTGCCCTGCCCACAAGGGCATCCTGGGGAGAGGATCTGGGTGGGGTTTTGTGTGTGTTTTTCTAGAGGTCTTGGGAGTTGTGATGACAGAGATCCCAGGCACAGTGGCCTCACCTTGGAGACACAGAGCCAGGCCGTCTCCATAAGGAGAGACTTGGACTCATCTTAGACCTGGGTGGTGGCTGGTCAGGGTCAGGCTGTAGACAGCAGGACGTGGCCGCACCGTCGGGTTCCCTGAGATGCCACAGGCTCAAGTCTGTTGGGGAGAGGCCTGGGGCACCTGGGGCCTCTGAGCTCCTCTGATGTGGCCAGGCCTCGGTGGACCTGCAGGGTCTGTGGGTTTTTCACGGAGGACTCACCATGCTCTGCTCTCTTTAGGATGAAACCGGTGCCTATTTAATCGACAGAGACCCCACCTATTTTGGGCCTGTGCTGAACTACCTGAGACATGGCAAGCTGGTGATTAACAAAGACCTTGCAGAGGAAGGTAAGCCGACTTCTGGGCACAGGTGTCTTGGCTTTGGGGGCAAAGGCCTGACCAAGGGGCCAAGGGCTCCCCTTAAGACGCATGCGCCGCCAGCCTGGGCCCCCATGGAGGAGCAGACCCTGCTCTCTGAAGCTGGGGCCGACGTTCTGGTGGTGAGGCCCCTCGCTTCCTTGGCCGACCTTTCCCAGAGGCCACAGGCAGCGGCGCAGCTGCATGTGAGGACCACCGTGGCCGTGGAGTCCTCCCTGACTGCAGCACCTTGGACGGCTGCCTGTCTCCAGGCTCTGGCTGGTGACATGGGCCTCGAGGGGCTTCTCTCTGTTGTAACTGAAGTAGTCTGAGCGGGTGTGTGAGGGACATGCCCACTGAACGCCCATGGTGTGCCTCAGGGCCCTGGCGCTACTCTCCCTCAAGGACAGCCCGAGGGTGGTGAGTGTCTCTGTGCCGTCACCTCAACGGTGCCTGCCGTTGGGCCCAGGCTGGCCTGCCTGTGTGTCGCAGTGCTGGCTTGGCTCAGAGGGGCCCAAGGCTGCGCCCCGAAGGCTGAGGGTCTCTGGGCAGCTGCGTGCAGGCATGGGCCTGCTCCCTTGAGCCCGTGTAGGCACATCAGTCTGCGCTGGGCAGCATGTCTTGGTTCTTGCCGATTTTCACTCCGTTTTTTTCTCTAGGTCCACGGGCCTTGGTGTCTACCTGCCTGCGAATTCACAAAGGTTGTGGGGTGACGGGCTGTGGCCCAGCCCTTTCCCTGCCTCTGCTCTGAGGCTGTGACCCACGCTGCCCACTTGTGTCCTTTGGCAGGGAATGTCTTTCACATGCTCTCTCTCGCCACCTGGGCTGCCCTCGGAGCCCCTTGAGTCCAGGTTTCAATTTATCTTAGTCCGTCCCCAGTGGGATTGGCTCAGAAACAGGTGCTAGACACAGCCCAAGGGCCTACCGGCCCGTCTCACTGGCCTCCCTCTAACCAGCCCCAGATGCAGCGGGTCTTAAGGCTGGAAGCCCAGCACTCGAGCGTCCGCTGGAGTGAGCAGCCCTCAGGCCACACCCTCAGTGCTGGAGCAGGGGGCTGTGCAGGGCCCATGTGGGGGCGGGAAGCCTGTGACTCTGAGCCCCTTGGCTCTGTCCTGTGCGGCCCTGTCCCCTGTGGCTCTGTCCCATGTAGGTCGCTGGGCGATTTCCTGAGCTGCCATGTCCCATGTGTGTGGGTTTCTCTGGGGTCCTGGAGGAATGAAGATGGCCTATGGATTCTGCTCTTTAAAGTTCTTCAGGGGGATTTGCAGTCCCTAAATATGGCACATTACTGGTGGCAATATTTGGGAAGAGCTGGAAGTGACCCTCAGCCAGCCACAGTCTTCTTTTTCAGTAGGGTAAACTGAGGTGCCAGGTGACTCACACACATGTACAAGGCCACAGGCCTGAGCCCCACACAGCCCCCCACCCAGTGTTGTGGCCACGAGCAGGTTCACAGCAGGAAGCGTCAGCCTCCAGGCTTAGAGGGAAAATGCCAGCTCCAAACCCCAGCACCACGCCATGGCCTCAGTGTAGAAATGCACTGAGCTATGTGGAACCAGTGGCTCCATACCCGGGTGGTCACCTAAGGTTACTCGAGGCTGTCTGGGGTGACCTGTTGAAGAGGTGTTTAGTCCACGCACCGGCCGTCTCGCCACGGCTCTGGGCTGACGCGTCTGTAGGAAGCCTGTTAGGACGGGGCCTGAGCAGCTCCCACTGGGCCGGGTCCTCATTGCGGGGGCAGGGGCAGCCATGAAGCGTGGATTCTTTGGTTTAGTTTGGCCTGGTAAAGACAAGTTATTTTTGTTTATTCCAGGAGTGTTGGAGGAAGCAGAATTTTATAATATCACCTCATTAATAAAACTTGTAAAGGACAAAATTAGAGAACGAGACAGCAAAACGTCACAGGTGAGCCAAGTAACTGATGCTGGAAGCTTCCATGGCCTGGTGTGGAGGCACGGCTGCCTCCTCGATTCCCCGATCAGCCACCTCCCACATGAGGCCTGTGGACTGGGGCTCTACCACCCTGAGACTGTTGTCCTCTGTCACCGCCCTGCGGCCCGCCAGCTCTGGCTACCAGCCTCTCCCCAGGGTCCCTTGAAGGAGCCGTCCAGCCTGCCCAGGATGGCTGCAGGGGAGTTGGGCATGGGAGACGTGGGGAGGGCCGGAGGGCCCCATGAGGGAGGGGAGGGCATCCAGTAGGGAGCAGAGGTTGCCAAGGACTGAGGCCAGCATGGCAGGAGGGAGACAGCAGAGGGGCTGTGTGCTTCTGTGTGGGCGTCGGAAGGACCTTGGCTTTTTTGGGAAGGAGAGGGCGGGTCCCACAGGCAAGCCCCTCAGAGCCAGCACAGCCCCTCTGCATCCCAGGGAGCCCAGGTGGTTGGAGTGGGCTGTACCTGCCGGGCCTTGGGCGTCACTCTTGTCCCTGAGAGCTGAGCCCGCCCCCTAGCTGAGCTCCCTCTGAAGGGCACTGGGAGCGGGCGTGGGCCACACCGTGGGTGCAGCTCCATTAGAAGCCGCAGGCTAGGTCCCCTTAGAGCCCCAGACCCTGTGCAGAGGCTCCTAGCCTGGCTGCTCAGGGCCGCTGGCCACCTAGCAACTTGCCTGGTCCCCCATCCTGCTGCAGCTCCCTCGGCACCACTCAGGGATCTGGAGGGACTCCTTGTCTGTGTCCTGTGCCCCTGGTCACCTTGTCCAATCTGTCTCTTTCCCTGTTGTGCGACCCGAGCTGTGTGGACACTCCCTGCCCCAGTCTCCCAGGTGGGCGGGGTACGGTGCAGGTGGAGAGTCCTTACAGTTCAGGCTTGCGGTGACACAGTAGCATCTTACCGCCTTGCAGAGGAAACCACTCAGGCATGTGGCCTCTAAACCACTGTGTGCCTTTGTCACTCATGCATCCCTGGCGTGAGTCACCACCTTCAAGTCAAAGATCCAAGACCCATGAACCCCTTCTCCTCACTGCTGTTTCTGTCCAGCCCTGTCTGCAGCCTCCGTAATCACTGTGTCTTCTGTAATCACTGTGTCTGGGATGTGGGTCCGCCCCACCCACTGGGGAGCAGCTCCGTGCAGGTGGGCGGGCTGGTGTCTCGCTGTCATTCCCAGGACCAGAGCTGCCTGGAGGGCACAGCGAGCGTGCCAGGCAGGTGGGGGATGAGGAGGGGGATGGAGTTCTAGGAGCGGCTCAGCCTTGGGGAGGCCCAAGTCCAGGCTGCTGCGCGGGTTCAGGAGCCTTTTTCTTGTAGCCGAGAGCAAGCTTTGTCTGGCACTGGTTCCCAGAACCCTGCCTGCCAGAGCCTTTCCCCGCCCAGGAATTGAGGGCTGCGTGGTTCCTGCGTGCAGAGCAGAAATGGACGCTCTCGTGTCGTCATGTCGAGCCACAGGTGCTCTTGGGATTTCAGGAACATGACTCATTTTATTTTGGAACTTAGAAATAGAAATATTTTTGGAGGCGAACGAGGAAGCAGAAAACAGCAGCTGTTCGGGCCTCGTGTTTTGCTTTTGTGGATGTGCTCAGGGTTGTGTTGGGCCACTAGCCCTGCGCTGAGAACTGGAGAGTGGACCTCAGCTCCCCAGGTCACCAGGGCTGGGCACAGGCAGCAGCAGCACTTGTGTGGCTGGTTGTCTTTGCAGGTGCCCGTGAAGCATGTGTACCGCGTGCTTCAGTGCCAGGAGGAGGAGCTCACGCAGATGGTGTCCACCATGTCCGACGGCTGGAAGTTTGAACAGGTAAGGGGCTCCTGCCAGGCTGATGGCAGCCACGCTGCAGCTGAACTTTTACTCACACTGGCTTAGGGCTCAGTGCCCCTGGAAATGCGGACTTCGCTGCTGGCATCCTCCTGCAGTTCTGGGGGTGCTCACAACAGTGTCCTGTGTCCTGTTCCCGCTGGAAGAGCCATGGGAGTTTGGGCGGGGTGGGCAGAGGTGTCTCAGGCACTACCCCGCACCCTCCCCTCCTCCCTGGCCTGCCTCTTGCAGCCATACTCACTCAGCCTCTTCTTCCTGCACTGCACTTTCTGGGCATCACCTGGCACCTCTGTGTGTCGGGGGGATTGGCATCCCCAGAGCCTCCTGGCCAGCTAACCACCCAGCGCAGCCCCGTTCCCCACAGCTCACTCCAGTGGAGCAGATGGATGCTCTGACGCCCTTCCTGTCTTTGCAGGAAGGGACTGCCAGGTCCCCATCGCCTTCTCGCTCTGGTTTGGCCGAGCTGTGGCAGGTGGGGCCGAGGGGTCTGTGCAGGGCTTGCCTTCTCCAGCAGCTTCCACAGGAGCTGCCCGAGTGCCGCACGAGCTGCTGTGCTGTGGCACTGTGGCCTGTCATTGGGGACCTCAGGACACGTGAGGCATGGCCTCTGACTGGGGGCCCATGCCCACGATCTGGGTGCCACTGTTCCTGCTGTTCCTGATGCTAGGTAGACAGTGAGGGTGGGGACAGTGAGAGTGTCCTCTGTCACTTGCTTCTGTCTGGGGCAGGTGCTGTCCATGGCCCAGTGGCCATCCCAGGCTGTGGGAGTGACAGGCTCAGCTAGTTCCCTTTCCTTTGAGTCTTTCAGAATCATATGTCACATTGTAGGGTACTTGGAGCTCCCCCTAAAATGTCACTAAAGACATTTGCGTCCATGCTGGACCCCCAGGCTTGGTGACTGGGTGTTTGTGCTGACGGAGCAGCTCGCCAGCCTGGGCTGCCCTGCCCTGGTGGCCGCATTTTTCTCATGCTCTGATCTCATCAGAATTGTGCCAGAGCCTCATGCGGAAACGGAAATCGCTCCTGCCCGGCGAGTCCCACCTCCCACTTGTCCCTTAGTGGGGCTGGGGACCTGGGAACCTGTGTCATCAGTTAGGGGGCCAAGAACAGGGTCATCCCCGTTTAGCACCTCTGTGTTTCTGCCACTGCCTTGTGACTTTTCTAGCTGGGAGGGAGCGAGGTCTCCTGCCCATGGTGGTCACCTGCCTCCCGGGGCAGCTTCAGATCTTTGTCCTTAGTGCTCCTGGGTGGATTCCAAACTGGTTGCATAGAGTGGGTGTTGTCCCCTTTCTTATAACCCATTTGACACACTTCATCCCTCCCAGTTCATGTAGAGAAGCCGCTGGGCTGACCAGCTGCCCTGGTTGTGGGCGGAACCCCGGGAGGTCCTGGGAGGTGGCCAGACCGGACCCAGGGTCCCCAGTGGTCATCAGGGGATTGTGAGCAAGGCTTGAAAGTGGCCGATGTGCCTGTCAGGATGCAGGGGCTCCAGTGGATGTGGCCGTGAATGCTCCCAAGGGGGTACCCCTTGCTGCTTGGCCCCATGCCAGCACCTCTGTGGCCGCCTCACTGGGCTGGGTCCACTGCTGCCCACTGGGTCAGCCAGCAGCCACACAGGAACAGCAGGTAGCCCCAGGCCCCCTTCCTGGCCGTTGGTCCGACCATGAGGTCATAGGTAGGGAGGCCAAAGTGTGAGCCCCTCCGGCTGCTTTTTGGCTCGGTCCTTTGCTGCTGGCATGCTCACTGTGATTTGCATGTTGCCATTTAATTTTCTCTTCAATAGCTCAGAAGTGCCCTGTGGCCTGGGGTAGCCAGCCGTGGGTCAGATGCCTCGCCAGAGAAACGGGTCGGCCCTGGGCCTGCATGGCCTGGCCTGCCTGGTGACGCCAAGGGAGGCAGGTTGGAGGGGCCTGAGGTGTGCCCAGCCAGCTGCAGCGACCCACCCTGGCCGAACGCAGGACAGCACGGCTCCTCGGCGGCTTTTGGTCCCGTCAGCCAAGTCCCCCACGCTTCCCTCCAGGTTTTCAGAGCTGCCCTCCACTCCCCTCCCACTGCCCCTCTCCCTCCGACTCAGCTCAGGGACCCTTCTGTGTTCCCTCTCCAGTGGCAGCGGCCCCTGTTTGCCCATCTGGAAATGCCAAGGAAAGCCTGGTGTCCCCGCAGAGGAAGAGCTGGCCCGTGCCCTGCCACGGTGTGGGGTGCCATGGTGTGTGCTCCTGCAGGTGTTCCAGGAATTTGTTTTCCATTGCTTTCCTCAAGCGTTGGCGGTCTTCTCATGGCTTTTGCGGTGGCAGACGCGTCCTGAGCCTGGGCGTGTTGGCCGGGCTGTGTCCCTCTCAGGCCTCACTGGGCTGCGTCTCAGGCTGTGTCTCCCTTGCAGCTGGTCAGCATCGGCTCCTCTTACAACTATGGAAACGAAGACCAAGCCGAATTCCTCTGTGTGGTGTCCAAGGAGCTGCACAACACCCCGTACGGTACGGCCAGCGAGCCCAGTGAGAAGGCCAAGGTCAGTGCTGGGACAGCTCCAGCCTGGGGCAGGCTTAGGTGGCAAGCCCTCCTGCAGGCGGGTGGGGAAGGCTCTTGCCCTCTCTCAGCTTCCTCTGTTCCTACCATTCTCATCAAGTCCCCGTCTCTGCCCCTGGTGGCGTTGCTGACTTTTCGGAGGCATGGTCTTCCGTGGGACAAGGCCTCTAGACACAGGCTCCCAGTAAGCCCCTGCAGGAATGCCACTGAGGGCTGTGTCTTAGGAGACCCAGAGTCCTCTGTTCCCAGGGCACAGCCTCTGGTGTGTGAGTGAAGACTTGGGACACTGTGGCTTGGCTGTCACGGCGAGGGTCTGGGCCCATCCCTGAGTTCAGGGACGTAGGGGTCTGGCTGTTTGGTGGAAGTCTGGGCCATTCCTGAGTGCCAAGTGGGCACCCTGGCTTAGTCAGTGCCAGCCCTGTGATTCTCAGGCTGCACAGAGTGGGCCCTGTGTGGCACCCAGCCTGGTAGCACTGGCACAGACTCTGCGGGGGCCCAGGCCCGTCTGTTTTCTGAGGGCTGGGCAGCTGGGGTGAAATACAGGGATCCCTGCCTTGTTTGCTTTCAGAATGGCCCCATGGCCCTGCCCACAGGTGACCCATTCTGGTGGCATTTTCTCTGGGCATGTTCTAAAGGTTGAGGCTCCAAGATGGACAGATGCATCCATGTAAGCAGATTCCGGCCTTGGCCTGGGCCAGCTCTACCTGGCAGGGCTCCCAGACCCCAGAGCCAGGTAGTGGCTGGAGAGCCCTTGGTGGCTTGCTCTCTGGGGACTCCTGGGGTCTGTATGGGTTTGGGAGAGCCTGGATGGTGGGGCCGGCTCTGGGCAGCCAGCCTGGGGTGTGAGCCCTGGGCTCACCACTGACCCTGGTGAAGGCTCAGGGTTTTGGCAAAGGGTATTCTGAGTGGGTGCCATGAGGCCAGAACCGGAAGGATTTTAACCGGTGGGATTAAACCAGGGACACCTGACCAACCGCAGACTCTTGGCCGGGGGCCTCTGGCCAGCCACCAGCAGCACAGGACTGTACCCGTGAGCCTCTCTGGGTCGGGCTTTGGAGGTATACCCTTGGGAACAGAGGGGCAGGACCACCAAACATGTCTCCTGGAGGCCTGTGGCCTGGTCATGGCACCCTCCCCACCACAGGCGACTGTCTTGGCTCAGGGCCTCCCTCGTGGGCCGCCCGTTGCATTCTTGCTGTGGGCAGAGGTCAGTCCTGCTGCTGCCTCGAGGCCGGGCAGTGTAGGCTGGGCAGGCTTGGTGTGCGACGACAGGGCTGGAAGCTGGGGTTCCACCACCAGGCCTGGGGGTGCTCTTCCATCTGAGTCTGGGGCCTAGGTGGCGACCCCCGGCTCCCTGAGCCCCGGCTCCATCACGAAGAGGCACTTCTCTCCTTCCCCCGGCTCCCTGAGCCCGGCTCCATCAGGAGGAGGCACTTCTCTCCTTGGAGCAATTGTGGGGCTCTTTTCTAAATGGTTTTATTTTAGAAGTTTTTTATTTCTGAGCTGAGTTTTCATAACCACGCTCCCCAGGACTCCTATCCCTCAGGTGGCTTGGCAGCTGCAGAAAGGACATGCTCTGTGCTGTGAGGAAGCTCCACACATGACCCCAAATCCCTTTGCAGTTGAGAATATGACCCTATTTCATTTTCCAAAAATACTTGCTCTGAAGTGGGGCAGCCGCGGCGGCTTCTTGACGGGGGTGTTGTCGGCAGCGCCCAGGAGGCAGAGCTAAGGCCAGGGCCTCAGAAGGCCACGGGGAATTGCGGGAGCCAGACCTGGAGGACTGTGATGGGGACACCTGAGGGTGGTCGGGCTGAGCGGGGCAGCATGGTCTGCAGGCCCTCGTCCCCAGTGTCCCTGCAGTGTGTGTGGCCTGGCGCTGCTGGGTACCCATCCCCCACTTCAGTCAGTGGTGGTGGGAGCAAGGGGTCGCACCTGTTGCAGGTGAAGGCGGGCCACACGTGAGCACACCTGCTTCCTACACCAGGCCCTCAGGAACTTGTTAGAAGGACTCACACAGCTCCCTGACAGCACTTAGACCTGGGGCCACCGTTTATTCTCAAGGAACAGAGAGAGAGATGGGCTCAGATCAGCCAGGGCAAATGCCTGGGCAGAGGTCAGGGTCTTCCCTGGAGTCGGGCAGTACTTGTAAGGCTGAGGAAGGGGTTCCCCAGTGTTTCTGGGGCTCCATCCCGTAGCCACACTCGATGGGTGGATCCACCGACTGCCGCTGTGGTTGATCCCAGTCTTACTCGTCTGACGCAGGGCCCCACCCTCTCTCCCGAAGCAGTGGGGCCAATGTAATGGGGTGCATGTAGCCCCGGGCGGCAGGCCAGCGCCGCCTGCCAGGAGTGGGGCCAGAGGCCAGGCGCCTCTGGACAGGGTTCAGCCCCTCAGCATGCACTTGGTACAGAGCCAGCCCAGATGGTGAAACGAGGCCGCCTTACACAGGGGAGCCCGCACCTCTGAGAAGTGTTGGAGCCCCGGAGCCTGTGTGTTCCCTCATGGCGTGGCCTCACTGGAGGGTCACCGGCCATGGGGGCTTGGGCCCAGGGTGCGCACCCGCCCACACCGTCCTGACAGCCTGTCTTTTCCCCCGCTGCACGCTGCACGCTGCCAGAGTGACGACGAGGACGAGGGGCACGCAGGGAGTGGCTCAGATTAAGTGTGAATGTCATGGTGAGCTCCGTGGCCTCCTTGACCCTGTGGCCCCAGCTGACCCTTGACGCAGACCCTCCGTGTGTGTCTGTCCCTGCCTGTAGTTGACGAGAGCCCTCCACGCTCTGTGCCGGCCGTAGACCCAAAGTAGCACTCCTGTGGGGGTGGGGCTGTGCCTGTGGGGCGGGCACCCAGGGGCAGTGTTGGATGTTAGTGGGGATGAGTGGAGGGCGCCAGTGTCAGGCCAGGCTGTGGACGTCGGTAGGCGTGAACATAGGAGTCCCCCTGGGGGATGGGCAGGGAGTGCCACTCCCACTGCCAGCCCTAGCGGGTGACCTTCTTGTCTGGCTCAGGCCACAGGCTCAGGGCCAAGGTTACAGTGCAGCAGACAGCAGACCCCGATCTCAGCTGCCAAAGCCCCTCGGCCAGGCCTGCCTGTTGGTGTGCTTGGCCATGGGTTGTAGCCTTCAAGGGCCCCCTGGTTGGTGTCTGCAGTTAGACCTTCTTGTGGAAGATGGCCCAGGGTGAGAGCGTGTCCAGAGGACATGGGTCTCACCCCATGCTCCATCTACCAGTGCTGGCCCCGGCCTCAGGAGGGTGAAAGATAGCACTTTTTTTTTTTTTTTTTTTTTTTTTGAGACGGGGTTTTGCTCTTGTTATCCAGGCTGGAGTGCAATGGCACGATCTCGGCTCACCGCAACCTCCGCCTCCTGGGTTCAAGCAATTCTCCTGCCTCAGCCTCCCTAGTAGCTGGGACTACAGGCGTGCGCCACCATGCCCAGCTAATTTTTGTATTTTTAGTAGAGACGGGGTTTCACCATGTTGACCAGGATGGTCTCGATCTCTTGACCTCGTGATCCACCCGCCTCGGCCTCCCAAAGTGCTGGGATTACAGGCTTGAGCCACCGCGCCCGGCCTTGAAAGATAGCACTTTAACTGCAGTTCTGTGGAGGGTCTCCTGCCATCATCAGGAGGGAGCTGTTGGGGCTCCTGGGCACTCTGGATGCCACGCTGCTCCCAGCCTGTCTGCTGCACTGCTGAGTTTTGCACAGGGCTGGTGAGGACCCAGGGCTGAGCACATCACCAGGAGGGCCGAATGGTCTCCCCGAGTCACTTCCACATCCCAGTGAGCTTGGGAATCACCCTGGTCCAGGGAGGGTTGTGCTGCCTCTGGCACAGCGGGACAGGCTCCCTCGGAGGTGCAGGAGACTGAGTGGGAGCCTCGAATTGGGAGTGGCCCAGGATAGTGAGCATCGGGGGCACCCGCCTGTGAACGGTGGAGCTGTTGGGGGTGGACGTGTCGGACTCAGGGTGAGCAGCTCAGGGGACATGGCCTCCGAGAGCCTCGGAAGAAGCCTAGGGTGGCAAGCACCCCTTACCACCACCCACTCTCTGGTCAGTGCAGCATGGCAGTGACCTCTGCGAGGCTGTGCCCAGCCAGGGCTTGGGCGCTGCTGCCCACAGGGTGTTTCTCGGCCCTCACGTGACGCCTGGAGACAGCTGTGGGCTGCACACAGTGAGGCTGGTCTGGTTCCCTCCGCCTGGTCCCTGGGGCTGCCGTGGCTCATTGTGGGAGTTCAGCTCAACAGCATTGGCTAGTGCCTGAGCCTGTCTTCAGAGAGACCCAGGCCTTAAGGAGCTGGCAGCCCGACTTGGGGGTGGCCTCAGCAGGTTCCTGGATGGCTAGTGAGGGAAGTGGGGAGGGTGCCCTGAGGAAGAGCTTTGAGGGGGTCACAGGGTGGAGAGGGCAGGTGGCCAAGGGGCAGTGGGCTCTGCAGAGCTAACGTGGTCCAGATGAGGCGGGGATGCCCACAGTGGGAGCTGCATTTGGGGTAGGGCCCTCTGAGGGCTGGTGGGTGTTCCATGGGGCATCCGGGCAGGGCTAGCACACGAGGTAGGCTGGCCAGGCCCAGGTGCAGGGCCGTGGGCTTGGGCGAGGGGTATCCCCAGAGGGTCCAGGCGTTGTGGTGGGGGCTGCAGTGGGAATAGGAAATGGAGGGGTCCCTGAATTGGGGAGCAGAGGCTGCTGAGGGACCCCAGGGCCGAGTAGCACTTCATGTCTGAGGCCCAGGACTGAGCAGGCTAAGAGGCTCAACAGTTAGCGTCTGTCAGGTGGGCCTGAGAGAAGCCGCTGGTCACGGTGAGTGTTCCCTGTGTGGGGCCCGGAGGTGCGCCGACCCCCCAGTGTAGGTCCTGGGCCTGCCGGCTGAGTCCCCAAGACCCTGGCCAGTAGTGTTTGGTTCCTCAGCTCAGGGACCCCCCTGAGTTGACTCCAGGCCTGTGGGCTCTGTTCTCGGGAGCAGGCGCCTGGTCAGGGCCACCTCCCGGTCCAGGGCCTGAGTCCTCATTTTCTGCATGTGGTGTTTTTCAGATTTTGCAAGAACGAGGTTCAAGAATGTGAGGGACACAGTATTGACAGCTGAAGAAATGATTTACTTTTTCCCAAGAAGCAATGAACCGCCATGTCCAGGAAGCTTGGCTGTGAGAAGAAACCTGCTTTTGATCATTTTTCTAGAGATCTGGGTGTGAATCCTTTTTTGCCTCTGAGGTGGGTGGTGAGAGACGGCCCAGCTGTCCGAAGCCAGACGTCCCCAAGTTAGGGGAGCGCAGCGGCTGGGTGGGCGCTGCCTCTGGTGGGGGCCTCGCTCTGTTTTTTCCAAGTGCCACGTGCGACTGAGGCAGACGCTCCCAGTCAGGTCAGCCTGCTCGATCCTGAAGATCGTGTGAAGGAAGCGTTCTTGGTGCTACACACACAGTCTGGAAAAGCAGCCTGGGCTTCACTGGCAGGCGGCGGCCGCAGCCTAGTCAGTGTCCAGCGCGTCGTGGCCTCCGGTCCGGCCGCCAGGCCCTAGTCTCAGTCAGGGAGTGTGCTCTGCCTCCCGGGCGGGACCGCTGGTTTCTCTCAACCTCGCAGAGCTCCTGACAAAGGCGGCGGCTTCGTCGTCACTGCTTCCCAGCACCGTTCCGAGGCCGGGCCTCCTTCCGACACAGGCTCCAGCCCTGCCTGACCAAGCCCGGGACAGTCAAGGCTTCTCGATTTGTATTTTCCAGGCGAGAGAACTTTGTGCCCCTTTTCCGTGTGGATAGACTCCCCAGTGTTTCTACTCTGGAAACGCCCGCAGGGTTTGCTGCGCGGAGATGGATCTGTTCTACCCGTTAGCGTGAGGCGGCCGTGTCGCCTCAGCCTCCCACTGCAGGCCCGCGGGGAGCTGGTGCCCGTCAGTGCCTTGTAGCGCCTGGCATAGAGGTTGGGCTGGAGGCCTGTGTGCTGGCTTCTGGAGCTGAAGGTCTGGGTCACGGTGAAAACCCGGGATGTTTACAGAGCATCACAAATGCCTCTCCCTCGCCGCTCTCTCGTTTTCTTTGTATAACTATGCAGCCTTCCCTCTCTTTCTGGGACGTTTGGGACTTCACTCGACCTGCACGGGCTCTGCCCACCATGACTTGGGAGCTGCTGGGATTCCTTTAGAAACTGCTGCCCGCATGCTTTGAAAACAGACCTCTCTCAGCTGGCTGTAGGGACCTGTCAGAGTCTGGGGACCTGGCGTGCAGGACCAGCTCCAAGCGCTTTGCTTCTGGAACTCTGGCTTCCCAAGGGGCGCTGTGCAGAGTGACTGCCAGCTGCCTGCGTGCAGGTCAGAGGCGCTGACGCTGTGCAGTGTCCAGTGCTTCCGGACACTTCCTGCCTAGGCTTCATCCTCTTTGCCAGTCACCTGATTAACCAGTTCTCCAGCATTAGGACTTACCTCCTCCTTTTTGTAAGGTCTCTTGTATGTTGTTAAATGTTTGGCTTAAACGATTTATAAAAGCCTTTCTAGAGGGCAGACTTAGCCACAGCCGACTCTGTCCTCCCCAGCAGAGCCCGGGGTAGGCGGCCACTGGGGATCCTGGGCGTCCCCTCTGGGGAGCCGCTGGCTGCTTAGCGCTGTTTGATTTTTGACCTTGACATAGTAGATAGGCTTGTGGTTTTTTTTTTAATTTAAAGATATTAAGACTTAATTCACTAAAATTTATTCTAAGGGGATATTTATACTTTTATACTTTTTTAGGTATTGTATTTTATCAGCTTACAGTTTAATGCCTAAGTTTCCCCTGGAAATAGCAAATAAAATTGTGTATTTATGAATCAACGTAGCAGGTGTTAATGGTCTTAAGATGCACAGAAATGCCACCCCAGGTGCCGCTGGGACCAAGGCGCTGCCCTCCATGCCGCACGTCCCCACTGGCCGACGCGGCCCACGCAGGGCTCTCTGCCTCTCGGTCACTGGGGTGGAGCCAGGCCGTCCATGTGACTGTCCACAGGGTGCTGGCTGGGGCCACTGGATCAGAGCTGCACCACCCATCCCTGCGTCCCACTTGCCCTGGATGCTTCAGCTGCCCCCTGCAAACATCACACCCCCTTCCCAGGGGACCAGAGACCATGTACAAGCAATTTTTTTTTTTTTTTTTAAGAGGCAAGGGTCTTGCTGTGTTACCCAGGCTGGCCTTGAACTCCTGGGCTCAAGCAATCCTGCCTTAGCCTCCGGAGCAGCTGGGATGGCAGGCGTGAGCCGTTGCACCCTGCTCAAGTGATGTGTTTTGAAAGTCCTGATACCTCAAGTTAGCATCCACCTCTCTTCCCTCACTTTAGCCTGCAGCAACGGGTGGTGACAGCAGGAGATTGCTGAGAAGGTCCCGGGATCCCGGCACCACCTCCCCAGCTGCTGTGACTCCCCCTGGTGGCTGTTCTGAGAAGGCTTGGTGGCTGAACTGCCTTCCCCCACAGGGAGATTCCCATTCAGTGTCCCCCAGGGCCTGGCTGCCTGAGGTCATGGAGCCTCGGCCTTGTCCATCCTGTTTCCAGGTGTGTGGCTGGCCCAGCCTGACCCCGGGGCCTTTAGAGGGGTGTCGTGGATGACTGGGCCTCTAGGTGCCCAGCATGAGGCCAGGTACAGGGACTGGAGTGGAGGAGGGACCCAGATTCTGCTCCAAGGGGCCTTCCTGCCCCCCTACTCCCACCAGCAGCGTGGCTAGGCATCAAGGCCGCTTGGCCAGACAGCGTTTTGGCCCCTTGGGAGATGCCTCAGCCTGGCAGGTGCCCCAGCCAAAGCCCAGAGCAGATCTCCCATCCTGACAAAAGGCTGCGAAGGAGGCAGGCCGTGCAGTTTGGGTCCTGTGGCCGGGGATGCTCGGGGCTGCTGGGCAAGGAGGGAGCCTGACTCCTCCTCAGACCTCGGGCTCCAACACAGCCTGCCCACTGTGGGAGGCCGAGGTCCAGCCCTGTAGCTCCAGGAAGCTGGTGTGAGGGACGAAGAGCAGGTGGGGGTGGGGCATGTGCAAATGCCCCCCCGTGAGTGCCCAGCCCCTGGGCCTCCTGCAGAGCCCATGACTGGAGCTCTCTAGGGGCTGGCACCACCCTCCTTGATGCCCCTGCATTTATTGGCGTTCACTCAGCAGGGGCTTCTAGCACCTTCCGTCCTCCCAGAGCTGGTGGCAGTGGCCGGCTGGGGCCATGGTGAGCTGACCCCACAGTGCAGCCACCCATCAAGGCCCTGATGTGGCATCTGTGTGAGGGATGGTGCCTCCTGGCACCACTGCACTGAGCCGTGCCCCTGGATGGGACTACCTCTTTCTCCTGAATGTTCCTGGGCCCGGGGCTCGGCACAGGGAGGGCTGGCCTGTGGCTGATCCCTCACCAGAGTTCTGGCCAGAACCAAAGCCACAGACTTCTTCCCGAGGCTCCTACTGTGTGTGTGTGTGTGTGTGTGATGCATATGTACTTTGTGGTGTGTGTGTGATGTGTGGCATATGGCATATGTGCTTGGCATGTGTGTGGCATGTGGATGTGATATACGTGTGTGCACGTGTTTTGTGTGGCATGAGTGGTGTGTGGCGTGGCATGGGTGTGACATGCATGTGTGTGCACGTGTTTTATGTGCATGGGTGTGTGTGTCGTGTGTGTTGTGTGGCGTAGCATGTGTGTGATGTGCATGTGTGTGCACGTGTTTTGTGTGGCATGGGTGTGTTTGTGATGTGTGTGTGGTGTTTGGCGTGGCATGTGTGTGATGTGCATGTATGTGCACGTGTTTTGTGTGGCATGGGTGTGTGTGCGTGTGATATGTGTGTGGTGTGTGGTGTGGAATGTGATGTGCATGTGTGTGTATGTGTTTTGTGTGTGCCTGTGTGTGGCATGGGTGTGGTGTGTGTGATGTGTGTGGTGTGTGGCGTGGCATGTGTGTGATGTGCATGTGTGTGCACGTGTTTTGTGTGTGGCATGGGTGTGTGTGCATGTGATGTGTGTTGTGTGGCATGGCATGTGTGATGTGCATGTGTGTGCACGTGTTTTGTGTGTGTCTGTGTGGCATGGGTGTGATGTGTGTGGTGTGTGGTGTGGAAAGTATGTGATGTGCATGGGTGTGCACGTGTTTTGTGTGTGGCATGGGTGTGGTGTGTGCGTGTGATGTGTGTGTGTGGTGTGTGGCATAGCCTGTGTATGACGTGCATGTGTGTGTATGTGTTTTTTGTATGTGGCATGGGTGTGTTGTGTGCATGTGATGTGTGTGTGTACGTGGGCACATGGGCCAGCTGAGCCTGGGAATGAAGGCCACCGCCTGCTCTGCCTGCCTCCCTGGGAGCCACAGAACGTGCGCAGGGCTGTGCCAGGCTGTCCCTCGAGTTCCTCCTGGAGCTGGCGGGGGCCCTGCTGCCACCCACCTGGCAGATGGCTCAGAGCCCTGCTTGGCGGCAGTGTGCAAAGTCTGAGCTGCACCCCCGCCCCAGGGTGAAAAAGGAACCTGTGGCAACCTGGACTGGTCTCCTCTAACGTCCTTTCAGAGCAAGGTTCATGAGCTGTTGTTTTCGTGGAACAGACTTGTTTTCCCTTCTCACCCACTGGTCTCTGCAGAGAGTGTTTTCTGCTCCTCTCCCACGGGCATCTGCCTGTTGACATCTTGGGTCTGGGTGGGGTCTCAGCACAGAGACAGTAGGGGCTGCCCTCCTGAGACCATCTAACCTGTAGCCTCCCCCTAACCTCTGGGCCTGGGGCTCCTTAACACAGCCCAGAGCAGGGTGCAAGTTCACTCAGGGGTCTCCGAGGCTGCAAGGCCTGGCCAGTGACTGCTCGGCTGGGACCACCCAGTGCTGCTCCCTGGGCCTGCCCTCCACCTGCACCTGGACTTCTCGCATCTGCTCCCGAGGGGCTGTGCGCAGAGGGTCCCCCAGACCCGCCCGCCCGACTCTGGACTGCAGAAGGCAGTCCTCCCTTGGGGAGGTGGGTTGGGCCCATCAGGGAATTCCTTCTGTTTTGCTCCCCACGGTGTTCCCAGGGCCGGTCCCCAAGCAGCTGCTTACTGAGTAGGTGTCAATTTGATTGCTTGGTGAAGACTCAGGGCCTGCTTTCTTCCTGGCGCCGTGCAGGCCGCGGTGCCTGTGTGCGTGTGAACGGGTGTGTGTGGGTGTGATGTACTCATGTGCAGTCCAGCCTGGCCCCGTCCCCACGATGTGCTGTCCTGGACTCCCGAATGGGGGTGGAGACAAGGATGGGGCACAGAGGAAGAGGAGCCAAGGGTCAAGGGGAGATGCCAGGGCACAGGGAGACCCAGGGTGCCAGGAGCAGTGGAGCAGAAAAGCGCAGGTGTGGGCACATGCCCAATGGGATAGCTGTCCCACTCCTGATGGCATAGAGTAGCTGAGTGGCAGTGAGACACGGGCAGCCAGAAGTGCAGACTTGGGAGGCTGAGCCACCCCTCCAGGCCCTCCTCGCCCCCACCATACAGCTCCTGCGTGGCCCGGGGGGTCTGTCGCTGTCCCCAGTGCCCACCCTGGGGCGGCCTCCAAGGCGAGGAAACCTGCACAGGTGGCAGGAGGTGGCCTCCGGTGTGGGGCCCAGGACAGGGGTCCCATGGTCCAGTGCTGTTGTTGACTTGGGAGCCAGCTGCAGCTCCCTTACACTGATTCAGAGATGACCAGAGCCTTCTATGGCTCCTGCCCAGGCATTGCCCTGCAACTCACAGTTCCTCACCCCCCGGCATTCCCCAGGGATCCCCACATGGGCAGCCAGCACACAGGCTGGGTTTTTATTGGAGGGAACATAAATAAAATAATATTTGAGAGGGGAGAAAGAAGCGCTATTTACAAGTAAGCCTGGTGGGGCTCAGAAGTGTAACAGCAGCGCTGGAAGGACCAGCAGGATGGTGTGGGCAGCCAGGCTGGGCGCAGAGCTCCGCTCGAGGGGCTCCTGGCCCCTGGGGTCTCGCTTCTGGCTGCCCGACCTCGCCGGCTGGAACTGCAGCTGGGGGATGATTCGGTGGATCCAGTTGTGATGGGCGGTGACACGGATGTAGACACCTGGGCGGTTCTGGCGGGCGCAGCCCTCGCCCCAGCTGATCACTCCGGCCTGCAGCCACGACTGGCCCACTAGGCACACCAGGGGGCCGCCTGAGTCACCCTGCGGGGAGACACAGAGGCACCGTCAGAGCCCACCCTGAGTTCCCAGAGACTCAGTTGCAGCTGCACAGTAGGGCTATGGCTCCACGCTGGACTCCTCCTCCCCATCCCAGAGCCTCCCTGCCTGGCTCCCCTCCCCTGCCAATCTGATTGACTAGAGTGCCCATTTCTTCAGTCTCCCCAGATCACTTAGGGGGTGTGTGTGTGTGTGTTGAAAATGCCGTTTCCTGTGCCCCGCCCCAGACCCACTGACTCTGACCCTCCTGGGTGAGGTCCAGGAAGCTGCTTTTTCAAAGCAAGCTGCTCAGCTGGTTGAATGCACAGCCCACGGAGCCAGACGTGATCCCACCCCGCCCTGGGCCAGGAGGTCGGGGCTGAGTCGCCATGGACCCCGAATCGCCCCCACCTTGCAGGCATCCTTTTTGCCCTCCTCGAAGCCAGCGCAGAGCATGTCGTTCTTGATGGTTTTTGGTTGGTAGCCAAACTCGGCGTCCTTGCTGTAGAGCAGGTTGCACTTGGGCGTGTCGATGATGGGCACAGCGAGTTTCTGCAGGATCCGAGGGTTGGGCAGGAGGTCTGGGGAGGGGCGGAGCAGCCCGGGGCTCAGCGGACACAGCCCCGAGAACCACCACGCCGTCCTGCCTGTCCTTTCCTCGTGTTTAGGGCATCTCTGGCTTAGGGCGCTGTGGGACGGACATCCTCCCTCCTAGGCAGCAGGCTGGGCCCCTTCTGTCCCCCTCTCTCCCTTCCCCGGCTCTTTCTTCTAAGTCTGCTGCTACTCCCCCCACCCCACCTGTGTGAGGAGAGACTGTATGTATACTTTTTTTTTTTTTTTTTTTTGAGACAGTCTTGCTCTTTCACCAGACACCAGGCTGGAGTGCAGCAGTGAGATCTCAGCTCACTGCAACCTCCACCTCCTGGGTTCAAGCAATTCTTCTGCCTCAGCCTCCCAAGTAGCTGGAACTACAGGTGCCCACCACCATACCCAGCTAATTTTTGTATTTTTAATAGTGCCAAGGTTTCTTTTTTTTTTTTTTTTAAAGACGGGGGTTTCACCACATTAGTCAGGCTGGTCTTGAACTCCCGACCTCAGGTGATCCGCCCGCTTCGCCTCCAAAGTGCTTGGATTACAGGCGTGAACCACCGCGCCCAGCCGAGACAAGGTATCACTATGTGGGCCAGGACGGTCTCAATCTCTTGACCTCATGATTGGCTCGCCTCAGCATCCCAAAGTGCGGGGATTACAGGCGTGAGCTACCGCGCCTGGTTCCATGTGTATGTATTAATACAGCAACAGGAAGATCGTGGGTTCAGAGTGGCCCCAAAGCTGCCTTGGGCCGTCTTTTTTTTTTTTTTTTTTTTTTTGAGACGGAGTTTCTCTCTTGTTACCCAGGCTGGACTCCCTTGTTACCCAGGCTGGAGTGCAATGGCGCGATCTCGGCTCACCGCAACCTCCGCCTCCTGGGTTCAGGCAATTCTCCTGCCTCAGCCTCCTGAGTAGCTGGGATTACAGGCACGAGCCCAGCTAATTTTTTGTATTTTTAGTAGAGACGGGGTTTCACCATGTTGACCAGGATGGTCTCGATCTCTCGACCTCGTGATCCACCCGCCTCGGCCTCCCAAAGTGCTGGGATTACAGGCTTGAGCCACCACGCCCGGCCTGCCTTGGGCCTTCTTAAAGCACGTCCCCCATTCTGCCCCAGCCCTGTCCCCTTACCTTGTTCACTGGGGCTGCCCCAGCCTGTGACCCAGCAGTTCATGCCCGTCTCAAAGATCACTGAGGGGTCCGGCAGGCACACGGGGAGGATGTAATTGGTGAAGGTCACCGGTAACTCCAGCTCCACCAGGGCCACATCAGCACTGGAGGCCATGCCCTGGTACAGGGGGTTGCTCTCCACCCGCCTCACCCGGGCGTACACGGCGTGCGGTCCCGGCTTCACTAGCTGCCTTGCCCCCAGCAGGACCTGGTACAGGGACGTCTCCGAGGTGCTGGTGGGAGAAGCAGGAGGCGACGTGAGGTCGCCCCTCACGTGGAGGCAGGCCTGGGAGGGGCTGGGGCTCCTCCACTGGCTGCCACCATGCCCCACACCTATCTCTGCAGACTGAGAACCGTCTCTGGGGCAGCCAGGTGCAGCAGTGATGCGTGTTGACATTGAAGCCAGACCGCCCGACTCCGATTTCCACCTCCACCCCTGGCCGCTGCCTGACCTTGGGCAAGTTACCCAACAAGTTCTCTGTGACGCAGCTTCCTCACCTGTGCTGCAGGGACAGTCACAGTCCCTACCTGCAAGGCTGGCTAGAAGTGGACCACGCTCCAGGTACAGCAGGGCCAGCCCTGCCTGCTGGCCTCTGGCAAGGGACCTGCCCTCTCTCAGCCTGAGTTGCCGATTTTTTTTTCCCCTAGAGACAGAGTTCTCATTCTGTCACCCAGGCTGGAGTGCAGCGGCACAGCTGTAGCTCACTGCAGCCTCCAACTCCTGGGCTCAAGACATCCTCCCGCCTCAGCTTCCTGAGTAGTTTGGACCACAGGTGCCACCACACCAGGCTATTTTTTTTTTCTTTTTAATTTTTGGTAGAGATGCTGTCTTGCTATGTTGCCCTGGCTGGTCTTGAACTCCTGGGCTCAAGGGATCTGCCTGCCTTTGCCTCCCAAAGTGCTCGGATTATGGGTGTGAGCCACCGTGCCCGGCTGTATCTGAATTTAAAATACGGGGGTTTTTTTGGTGGTTTTTTTTTTTTTGGTCATGACATTCTTTTGAAGATCAAGAAGGAAAAAAGAAAGAAAAAGACGTAGGGTTTAAAAGAATTAGACCTATGGTGAGGTGTGAGTTGAGGGGCTTGGGACACCAGCAGGAGCCAAGTGATGCCAAGGGCACCTGGCTCCAGTGGAGCCAAGTGGTTCATATGTGGACCAGGTGGCCTGGCCTCAGCTCAGGGCTTGCTGGGGTGGCTTAGGTGGGTGAGGGGAGGAAGGGCCTTTTTGTCCAGTCCTTGGGCTTTGTGAGCAGAGTTCGCCCAGGAAGAGTGTTCTGGAGCTGAGGTGTGGGCGGGATGGGGAGGCCAGGACCGGCCGGTAGGTAGCCCTTGGAACTTGCACGCAGAGGGTGGAGGGATGGGAGGGGTCAGGAAGGTGCGAGGTGCCTCCTGCAGGCAGGCAGGAGCAGGGTTGCAGCTGGAAGTTATCCCTGGGGTTGGACCTAAGGAAAGCCTCTGGCTAGGAAGGCGGCGTTGCTGGACCAGGAGCCCCCACGAGGGAGGTCACCCGCGGACGCGGTGAGGCGGGCGCTGTCCGCGGTGCTGAACCGGCTGTGGGAGGGCGCAAGGGCAGGCAGGACTCACTTGGAGAAGCAGTGCGCGGCCGTCAGGACCCACTGCTCCGCGATGAGGCTGCCCCCGCAGAAGTGGCTTCCGTTGCGCTGGATGCTGACCTGCCAGGGCCACTCGCCCTCCTGCGCGTCCTGCCCGCCCACCATTCGGTTCAGCCTCCTGGGGCGCCCACAGGCTGGGGGAGCATGGGGTGCGGGTGGGGGTGCTCACTGGGGCTGGTTCCATGGCCAGGCTCCAGCCTCCAGCCCCACACTCCAGTCCTCAGCCCTCCTGCCCCTGAGCTACCTGATGACCTCGGAGGCCTGGGTTTAAGGGTAGCCTGGGATACAGGCTGACTCTCCCCAGCTGCCCCTGAGCCTCACTCTCCTCCCTGGGAAGGGCAACCTAACAGCTGCCTCTTGGGGGCCACGGGGGCTCTGAGATAACCTGGGGAAGGATCTTGTCCCAGGGCCTGACCCAAACAGATGGCTGGAAGGATGCAATGGGTGTCACGCCCTCTTCGAGGGAGCGACCCAGAGAGCCAGTCCCTGTTTAGGGTGATCCTCAGACCCTGCCACCCTCGTCCTGTGCTGAGCCTCGGTGCCCTTGGTGCCTGTCCTGCTCCTATCGGGACCTTCCTCCTCCCCTCCCTTCTGGGCACCAGTTCCACACAGCCCCCACTTTCCCCTGGTCTGGAATTCCCCGGTGATGTGTGTTCTGAATTCCGTCTGGGTGTGAGTGTCCCTGGCTCAGCCCTGCGGCTCCTGTACCTCCCACCCCAGGGCCTTGGGTGCTTACCTCTTGCTGTCTTGGCCCCCTGAGTCCCTGGAAGTGAAAAGAGGGAGATCAGCCAGGCGAGCTGCTGCCCCTTTCCACTGACCCTCCCCAGCTCCTGAGGACTCTAGAGGGACAGTCCACAGAGGGTCTTGCAGGAGAGGCTAAGGGCTTGCAGTTCCCTTGGGGCTGACTCTGCCATATGCTCCGGTCCAGACCTGTGGGCCAGAGCTTGTCTGCAAGGGTGGACGGTCCTTGCCACATGGGGAACCGGATGTCCCCTTGTCATCCTGGCAAGTGTTCTCTCCCTCCACATTCCACACCGATCCTTGTCTGGAAGCTTCTGGGGAGGGTCCAGCCTCCAGCACCAGCACTATGGGGTCAGCCTTTCCTCCCAGGACAGCTTGGAGCGGAAGAGGCCTGGGAGCTGCCTCTGCGTTTGAGCTGCCCAGGCTCTCACAGTCTGCTCCAGAATGAGCAGGTCTCTCCCATGTCTCACTTGGGTCCTGAGGCTTAGGCCCTAGCCCCACAGGCTGCTCCCTGGTCTCAGGTGGGTAGAGGAGGTACAGTGGTTTGCAGTGGCCACTTGGGAAGGGGATCAACCTTCCCAAGATTCCAGAGTCCCAAGAGCTGACCACTCTCCCAGGCATGCGGCAGGCTCTGCAGGTGAGGCCTAAAACCCCCTGTTGGGCTGTGCTAGGTGGGCTTTGGTGCTGGTAAAGTGAGCGCCCAAGAGAAGTAAGGTATGGGGTCATTCAGGGGAACCAAGGATGAGGACTTTTGTTCTGGGGCCCATTGCCTCTGACACCCCAGGACACAAAGGGCCTCTTGCTGGGCCTTTAACCAAACACTGGAGCCTCTACCCAAGCTTGGAGACCCCAGCCAAGACCCCAGTGTACAGCCCCAGGGTAGCAAAGCCTGGAAATGCTTGGCCTCGAAATAGTCCTCTCAGCAACCCTGCACACCACACGTCTGGTTCCGTGGGGGCACATCTGCACATAGCTGGGGAGGGGTTAGAACAGCCACCTCCCCACACCTTGGCCCTCAGCTTCCCCCCTAACCCCCAGTGCCTTCTGGGGCCCAGGGGGCTGGGCCAGCTGCCATAGACCATGTCTTCACTCTGCCTGGAAAAGATAACCAGTCCAGTGGGGTGGAGGGGCTGCAGGGACAGGGAGTGGCCATGGAGTGCCCAAGCACCCTGAGGGTTTTTATGGCATCCTCTTCCTGCCTGCCTCACAGTCTGGGGGCACGCTTCTCAACACGATTGGTGGGCAGAGATGCCCCTGGGGGGGTGCGGACAATGAGGCAGCAGGTGGCGAGGGGGCAGCTGTGGATGGACAGGAGGAGGTGGGGAAGGTGCAGGACGGGAAGAGGGCTGCCCTGCAGAAGCCAGGTCAGGGACAATGGAAACGGAAAGTCTGCCCTGCTCGCTCTTCGTTAATTGGTGCTAATTAGGTGGCTCTTTTAAAATGCAAACACCCGGGAGGGTTATTCCCTGGCCCTTGCCAGGATCATTTTGGGTGTCTAACTCCTGAGCCCTTGCTCCTTCCAAGCCTGAGGATCCTGCTCACAGAAGGGCGCACACCGACCCCTGTCCTCCCTGGCGCCCACCCTCAGGCCTTCTCCCCTCTGGGAGTCTGCAGGAGCTGTGTCTCCCTGCTCCCTGAGCACCGCCCCCAGCGATGCCTCCTCCCTGTGCGGATCCTTCCTTCCTAAGGTAGCCTTGCACTTCTCATTTAGGCAGAGCCTTCTGGCCTCTGAGTGCTTTCTCCCCTTGGCCCCCAGATCTGGATGCCCTTCCCTCCTGGTCTCCATGAGTCCTTGTCTTGATCTAGAGATCAAGGCCCAACCGAATGCCGTTTCCTCCAGAAAGCCTTCCTTGCTTGATTATGTTCTCTATCTTGGAAGGCCCACACTCTCTTGAGCTCTCTGTCCTGATGGGACCTCTGCCTATATCACCCTGGAGTCAGAATCGAGCCTCATTCAGCCCAGGAGCTCCCAGAAGGCAGGGGCTGCGTCTGAGGGCCTGAGTTCAGGGAATGTGTGGAGGGACACGAGTGTGGCTGTGGGGCCTGATCAGAAAGGCTGATGTGGAGAGCTGGGCCCTTCAGGGTGGGCACCCGGTGGTGGGGCTGGACGTGACAGCCAGGAGTGCTGGGGCTGTCAGGTGCATTGTCTGGGCCCTGGGCCTGCGATCCACTAGTAGCTGGTTGGGATGGTGGAGCCTAGGATGCCAGCAGGGACCAGCCAGAGGCCTGGTAGGGGTGTCACTCCTGGGCTGGGGGGTGAGGACGTGTCCAGGAGTCCAGCCTCCAATCATGGCTTCAGAGCTGACGGCAGGCCAAATTTTCCTTTTTGGCAATGACCTTAGTTCCTCACCACGCTTGGGGGGCAGTCACTGCCTTCCACCCCCTGTGCAGATGGCTCGCTCAGAGGGCACCATCATCCTTGTGCTGGGAGGCTGGGGAGGCTGGGCCAGTGAGGGGTCACAGTGCTGCCCTCCTACCCGAGAGAAAGAGGAAGCCTGGAGTCCTGGCTGAGCTGCAGCCTGGGATGACCTGACCCAGCCCTGGGAGGTAACTTGAGGACAGGGAAGTGTGGTGGCTGCCAGGCTGGCCAGGCTGGCCCAGGAATTTGAGAGGGTTTCCCTGGCAGAGTGTCCCAGCCTGTAGGGAGGAACCTGGCAGGTGGGGCCCCCTGGATGGCACCTGCTTCCCTGACCTAGGACCAAGAAGAGGGCACAGTGGCACATCGCCGGTTCCTCTGTCAGCAGGGGACAGGGCTCTGCCGGCTGCACCCCCTGGCCCCAGCTGTCTACTGAGCCTGCAGCCAGTCTGCTGGGGCTTTTGGGCACAGGCAGCAGCCCTGCTGAGCCCCCTCCCAGCCCAAGGATGATGGTCCAGGCACTTGGAGCCCTGCAGGCCCAAGTTGACATCCTGCATATAGGAGGCCCCTGTCCTCACAAGAGAATAGGGGAGAGAGGCCAGGGTGGCAGGAGCAGGGAGCCTGGCCAGAGCTGGCACACCAGTGCCCCCGGAGAAGTGTGGGAGGAGGCCCTGTCCAGTCATGGCCGCGGGGTCCTCTGGGGCCTGTGCCCACACCTTCCACCCTGCCCTCCCCAGATGGCACATCTGGAGCCTTCCCACCTGCCCGGGGGTACCCCACCATTGAGGCAGGAGGGATAGCCCACGGCGTGGGGGCTGAGCCCGAGCCCCGGGCAACGCAGCAGGGCCGGTTGGCAACCGCACCTTTCGACCCTGCACGTGCTGGACTCACCAAGACACAGCAGCAGCAGGAGCGGCGCCGCCGCCGGCCGCCTCATATCCTCAGGCCTGGCTGGGGCGCAGGGTCGGGGTCAGCGGTGGCAGGAGCGTCGGAGCACGAGCGAGGTGCAGGCTCCATGAAGTGGGGTTTTATGCCGGAGGTGAGCACAGGCCCGGGTATGCCGCCCAACCCGTCGGCCCGGCCCGCCCTGCTCCTCTCCTCAGAAGGAAGCGCCCAGAGCCGACTCCTCCGTGACCTGGCCCCGAACCCCGAGACCCCCGGCCAGACCCCTCACCCCAGTGCAGCGAGGGGCGCCGCTGGCCTCAGCTCCCCGACCCTGAGCTGACCCGGACGCCCCGCAGACCCCGAGCTGACCGCCCAGCTTCGTTCATTTCGGATTTATTAGCCGCGCAAGGGGAAGTCAAGGCCTGGGGCGCGCGGGGCCACGAGCAGCGAGGCAAAGGCACGTGGCGGGGCTGGGGCGACCCTCCTCCGGGACCCCGGGACCCCGGGACCCAGAAGCCCCGCCAGGCGGCTGCCACCCTCCGGCGGGGCGGGGGCTTCCCGGAGCGGGCGGGACGGAAGCGGCTCCGGGAAGGCCGGGCCGGGTGACCGTCTTGGTGCCCCCGCCTGGCTCTGGGCGCGGCCCCGCGGCGGAAGCGGCTCCGGGAGGGAGTTATTTGGGGCATGGAGCTCACGTCAGAGCCAGAGTGGGGCCGGGCCGCGGGGGCCGGGCTTCGGGCCTCAGTTTCCCCACTGGCGTTGGGGGCATGCGCGTGGGCCGGGCGGGGCTGGGGGTGCGGCCGTCCGCGCCTCGGTCTCTTCCGCGCGCGGCGTGGTGCTGCCCTCTGGTGGGCGCGGGGCGCGGCGCGGGCGACTGGGGGTGCAGGTGGGGCGCCCCCAGCCTCATGCGTGGCTCCGCCTCCCGCCACCGCCCCCCCCAGCCGCGCTCTCCCCCTTCTCCCTCCCCCTTCCTCCCCCCTCCACCTAAGCGAACCCCTCCCACGCTCCCCTCCCCCTCTAGTCCCTGGAGTTCCCGGGTTGGGGGTACGAGGCGGGCTGGGAGGCCCCTGGGGGGCTGGAGGGAAGGAGTTGGGGAGCGAGGAGTAGAAAAAGGAGATTCCTCCTTCCGCTCCTCCTTCGCTCCTTCCTTCTTTCCCTCCTTCCTTCACTCCCTCCTTTCTTCCTTGGCAGATTGGAAGCCAGTACTGCCCAAGTTTGGGGAATACAGAGGTGACCCAAACAGACCTGTCTTCTCAGTGTGAGGGAAATGTCTATAAACCGTAATGGGTCCAGTGCAGTGGCTCACTTCTGTAATCCCAGCACTTTGGATAGGCTGAGGCCAGTGGATCACCTGAGGTCAGAAGTTTGAAATCAGCCGGGCCCAGCGTGGTGAAACCCCATCTCTACTAAATGCTAAAACTAGCCGGGTGTGGTGGCCACACCTGTAATTCCAGCTACTCAGGGGACTGAGGCAGGGGAATCGCTTGAATCGGGGAGGCCGAGGTTGCAGTGATATGAAATTGCACCACAGCACTCCAGCCTGATGACAGAGCAAGACTTGGTCTCCCCACTCCCCACCCCTCCAAAAAATTATATAAATCACGGAAAATGCTTTTTTTTTTTTTTTTTTTAAATACAGACAGGGTTTCACCATGTTGGCCAAGATGGTCTTGATCTCTTGACCTCGTGATACACCCGCCTCAGCCTCCCAAAGTGCTGGGATTACAGGCATGAGCCACCGTGCCCGGCCTGGGAAGAATTTCAGTGTGCCTGAGTGACCACATTTCTCCAGCACCTGCCGGTCAGGTCACTGGATCTCATAGGCAGTCTCAGAGCCTTTCAGGTAGTTACCTCCTCTTGGCATCTTCCTCTGTGTTCCTTGGTGTCTGCTCCCCAACCCTCCTCTTAAGCCCATTCCTCTAAGGGTGGCTCTGCCTTTAAGTCAACCAAGTGACAGAGTCAAGATGTGGATCAGAAAGCGAGCTTGCCAGGGAAAGCTGGGCTCCTGAAGAACAAGAGACAGCCACACTGGCAATTAGAGAGTCAGGAACCCAGGCCTGACCCGCATGGAGCCCTCGGACCCAAGGCTGAGAACGGGCCCCTTCCTCACCCCACCAAACAGAGAGGCCACTGAGATCCACAAAGATTTTCATGGTTTTGTTGTTGTTGTTGTTGTTGTTGTAGTAGTTGTTGTTGTTTGTTTGTTTTTGAGATGGAGTCTCCCTGCTGACATGCGTTTTTTTTGTTTTTTTTTTTTTTTTTTTTGAGACAGAGTCTCACACTGTCACCCAGGCTGGAGTGCAGTGGCACAGCCTTAGCTCACTGCAACCTCTGCCTCATGGGTTCAAGCGATTCTCCTGCCTCAGCCCCCTTGGTAGCTGGGATTACAGGCTTGCATCACCAGGCCTGGCTAATTTTTGTATTTTTAGTAGAGATGGAGTTTCACCATGTTGGCCAAGCTGGTCTCCAACTCCTGACCTCAAGTGATCCACCTGCCTGGGCCTCCCAAAGTGCTGGGATTACAGGCATGAGCCAATGCACCTGGCCATACTTTTTAAAATACTTAGTCCCTCCCTTAAAAAATAGCATTAGGGCTGGGCTCAGTGGCTCACGACTATAATCCCAGCACTTTGGGAGGCCGAGGCGGGTGGATCACGAGGTCAGGAGATCGAGACCATCCCTGCCAACATGGTGAAACCCCATCTCTACTAAATAAAATTAGCCAGGTGTGGTGGGATGTGCCTGTATTTCCAGCTGCACAGGAAGCTGAGGCAGGGGAATCACTTGAACCCAGAAGGCAGAGGTTGCAATGAGCTGAGACAGTAACACTGCACTCCAGCCTGGGTGACAGAGTGAGACTCTGTCTCAAAAAAAAAAAAAAGCACTGGACATTTATCAACTCTCTAGATGGGGCACAGTTTTCTAAGTTTAGAAGTCATATTCTGGGATAATGATACAGGAGTTAAGAAGAAATCACTTAGGCAAATAGGATATGGAAGTCCTTGGTAAGGCTTTTTTTTTTTTTTTTTTTTTTTTTTTTTTTCTTGAGACAAGAGTCTCACTCTGTCGCCTAGGCTGGAATACAGTGGCACAATTTTGGCTCACTGCAACCTCTGCCTCCTAGGTTCAAACAATTCTCCTGTGTCAACCTCCCAAGTAGCTGGAATTTTAGGCACGTGCCACCGTGCCCAGCTAATTTTTTCAGTAGAGATGACGTTTCATCATGTTGGCCAGGCTGGTCTTGAACTCCTCATTTCAGGTGATCCACCGACCTCTGCTTCCCAAAGTGCTGGGATTACAGGTGTGAGCCACCATGTCCAGCCAAGGCTTTTATTTTTAATGAAAAGCAGCCCTGAATCATTTTCTAACAAAGAGCAACCTGTAAGTCGAGCAGCAGACATAGACGAGCCCGCAGGAGCTTGCCGGGATGAATGCTGGCAGGAACCAGGGACTAGACATGCTAAAGATGACGGTTCCATCTTCTCTTTTCTGCCAGCCATGTGTACGGTAAGAAGCAGGCAAGAAGGCACCAGCCGAAGAGAATTCACTTGCATGGCAAGATTAGGGTGGGGTGACCAGCCTTCCCCCTGTGCTATACAAACATCACGCCTGGTCGAACCAGTCTGTGAGCCCTATGTAAATCACACACCCCCTCCTCAAACCAGCATATTCACTGCCAGTCCATCCTTTCCACCTGGAGACTCCTCTCTCTACAGGGAGAGCTGTTCCTCTTTCTCTTCTGCCTGTTAAACCTCCACTCCTAAACTTCTAGTGTGTGTCTGTGTCCTAAATTTTTCAGGTGTGCAATGACAAACCCTAGGATATATACCCCAGATGACATAGCCGCTTCAATGGGAGCTATGTAAGAAGATAAAAAAGAAAAAAAAAGGGCCGGGCGCGGTGGCTCAAGCCTGTAATCCCAGCACTTTGGGAGGCCGAGGCGGGTGGATCACAAGGTCGAGAGTTCGAGACCATCCTGGTCAACATAGTGAAACCCCGTCTCTACTAAAAATACAAAAAACTAGCTGGGCGTGGTGGCGCGTGCCTGTAATCCCAGCTACTCAGGAGGCTGAGGCAGGAGAATTGCCTGAACCCAGGAGGCGGAGGTTGCGGTGAGCCGAGATCGTGCCATTGCACTCCAGCCTGGGTAACGAGAGTGAAACTCCGTCTCAAAAAAAAAAAAAGAAAAAAAGGGCCGGGCGCGGTGGCTCAAGCCTGTAATCCCAGCACTTTGGGAGGCCGAGGCGGGTGGATCACGAGGTCAAGAGATCGAGACCATCCTGGTCAACGTGGTGAAACCCCATCTCTACTAAAAATACAAAAAATTAGCTGGGCATGGTGGCACGTGCCTGTAGTCCCAGCTACTCAGGAGGCCGAGGCAGGAGAATTGCCTGAACCCAGGAGGCAGAGGTTGCGGTGAGCCGAGATCGCGCCATTGCACTCCAGCCTGGGTAACAAGAGCAACACTCTGTCTCAAAAAAAAAAAAAAAGAAAAGAAAAAAAGAAGTAATAGTAGACGTCACAGAAGAAAAGAGCTGTGGCCCATGCATTAAAAATATACGAGCAACATCGATTATAAAATAAAAAGGCAAATGATAGGAAAAGTATTTCTGGGAAATTTGGCAAAGTGCTTTTATCATTATCCTCTAAAGTGCTCAAGAAATTGATCAGTAAACACTGAGACCCTGAAGATGAAATGGATGGGGGAGACCAGGCACAGGGGCGAATGCCTGTAATCCCGGCACTTTGGGAGGCCAAGGTTAGGCCTGGCCAAGATGGTGAAACCCCGTCTCTACTAAAAACTACAAAAATTACCCGGGCATGGTGGCAGGCACCTATAACCCCAGCTCAGGAGGCTGAGGCAGGAGAATCGCTTGAACCTGGGAGGCAGAGGTTGCAGTGAGCTGCGATCTAGCCACTGCACTCCAGCCTGGGCGACAGAGTGAGACTCCATCTCAAAAAAAAACAAATGGATAGGGCCGGGCGCGGTGGCTTAAGCCTGTAATCCCAGCACTTTGGGAGGCCGAGGCGGGTGGATCACGAGGTCGAGAGATCGAGACCATCCTGGTCAACATGGTGAAACCCTGTCTCTACTAAAAATACAAAAAATTAGCTGGGC